TGCGAGTGGGGGGAACATGGTGTGTCGCATCTTTGGGTTCCTGTTGTGTAAGATGACATGGAATATCATCTGTGTTTTCTTTAGGAAGTTTTCAGATATTGTTCCATTTGAAAGAAGGCTTAATAAGCTTCAGTATCTAAGTTTGCAAATGACATTAATCACACATGTATTTGCACTAATTCAGTTCAATGACAAGAGTTTTGCAATTGTGTAAAACAAATTGTAGGATTCCCATATTGTTTTGTGATGGTGAACAAGATAACATGGCATTGGAATAGAAATTTACTTGGAAATGTGAAAGTAATTAGCAGTACAACTGAAGGCCGCCACGTTGTTCCTCGGGACACCTCGTCGTCCGCTCAGTGGTGGGTGCCCTGCTGTGGGACTTTCCTGTTCCAGCCATAGGGCAGGGCCAGGCCCCGGGCATGTGGGCCAGAGGGGGAGTGGCTGACCTGGGGGAGCGGGCATTGCCGGCACCCATCTTCCTGGCGAGACACCACCCGCAGGGCCCTCAGGAAGGGAGGCAGTGGGGGGATGGAGGGCCGCCAGGTGGGGTGTAGTGGAGGCACATTGTTGGGGACCTTGGTGGGGGGGCTGTGACCCCCGGACTCTGGTGGCTGTTACAAGTTCCTCTCTGTGTTATCATGCCCTCTGTTCAATGGTTTCAGTCAAAGTTTCTCTTAGTAAATTTCTCTGAAAGTTTCAGCTGAGTCTGGCCTCTGCTGTGGGCAATGGAGGGAAAGGGATGCTGCAGGTGAGGGCGGGGGTCAAGAGTCGGAGTCCTGCTCAGCACCCATGGGACACCTCTCCAGTGAGAGGGTAGGGTAGGCACTTTGCAGACCCAGAGATGGTGAGCGCTTTTTTCCATTTCATAGGTGAATTGTAAAGTTTTAGTGAAAACTGATAATTGCCTAAAAAGGCAGTAGAGAAGTTAAAATGTAAATGAAAACCTTGATTATCTCAGCAGGAAAAAGGGAACATAGGAGCAACAATAGTTGGACAGACACTGCTATGGACTGAATATTTGTAAACCTCTCCCCCTCATTCACCTGTTAAATTCTAACCCCCAAAGGGATGGGATTTGGAGGTGGGGCCCTGGGAAGTGATTAGCCCATGAGGGGGGAGCCCTCATGAATGATTACCTCCCTTATAAAAGAGGCCCCAGACGGCTGCCTCATTCTCTTGTGCCATGTGAGAAGATGGCTAGTTGATACAACTAGACAAGAAATCAGTCCATATGAAGAAGAGCTTTATTACTATTATTTATTATTCAGCTGTACAAAGGAACGAAATTGGGTCATTTGTAGATGCGTGGATGGATCTAGAGACTGTCATACAGAGTGAAGGAAGTCAGAGAGAGAAACAAATATCGTGTATTAATGCACATATGTGGAACCTAGATAAATGGTACAGATGAACTGGTTTGCAGGGCAGAAATAGAGACACAGACGTAGAGCACAAACATATGGGCACCAAGGTGAGAAAATGGTGTCGGCGGGGGCTGGTAGTGTGATGAATTGGGAGATTGGGATTGACAAATGTACACTAATATGTATAAAATGGGTAACTCATAAGAACCTGCTGTATAAAAAATAAAATACAATTCAAAATTTCAAAAAGAAAATCACGTCCAAAAGAAATCTGAATTCTCACTGGCTACCTTATTTGACCATGGGTTGAAGCTTCGTACTCCTGAACTGCTCTTGAGGGATTTGTCAAGTGGCGTCAATGTGGGTAGGATTTCTTTGTGAAAACAAGACAATTGATTCCCATCACCACTTCCCCACAAACACGCAGATGCTAAAGGGATTGCAGAGTTCTTCCGTGAAAGTGCTGGGAATGTGGGCTCATCTCAGCGAATCCCTCCCTGCCTGGTGAAGCTGCTGTAAGGATTATTTAATGTAGAGGAGGGTGTATGGCACCTCTGAGGGCGGCTGGGACCCCAGGAAGTGTCCAGATAGAAATGGAGGGCTTCCCTGGTGGTGCAGTGGTTGAGAGTACGCCTGCCAATGCAGGGGACACGGGTTCGTGCCCCGGTCCGGGAGGATCCCACATGCCGCGGAGCCGCTGGGCCCGTGAGCCATGGCCACTGAGCCTGCGCGTCCGGATCCCACATACCGCTCCTTGAGGCTCTGATAGGACACCTGCAAGCTGAGGTGGAAGGTCTTGACTTTGATCCACTCTTCCTTCACCTTCTGCCACAGCAGGGTTCACAGCTGGGCCCCATGCTTGGTCTCCGAGGACCTCCCCTGCTGCAAGGCTGGGGAGTGACTCTCTGGAGAGAGGTGTCTAATGACATCAAACAGGTCGGTGGATGGGCAGTGTTCGGCACCTGGCTTGGGGGACTCTGAAACAGAGCCTTCTCGCTGGGCTGCTCGCGGTTGTACCCCAGGCTGCTTTCTGCCCTCAGCACTAAGCCCTTGGGCCTGCAGCCCTCCTCCAGCTCCTGCAGCTGCTGGTGACACCGGTGGAGCCTTCGCTCAATCTGGGCAACGGTGGCAGAGGCACGCTGGTTCACCTTCTCTAAGGCCTGCCAGACATGGGGGCCTGCTGCCGCCAGCTGTGGACACCAGCTTGAGGAAGCCCACAGTGTTCCTGTCCAGGCTGGCCTTTTCCACTCTCAGCTGTTCTGAGAGGTACCGGATGCGGTGCTTGACACTGTCCTGTAAGTTCCGGGCCAGCTTCCCATCTGAGAGGCTGGAGGGGCCACTGGGGCCAGCCTTACTGGATGACAGGGATCTGCAGGAGGGAACATTGGAGGGGAAGTTTGCAGTTGGGCTCTTAGTGTATTCCGCCTGCATTGGGAAACAAGAATCACAAAACAGGTACTTCTGTGAGATGCAAATGGTGGGAGAATTAGACACAAATTGCTCCACTCTATAACAGTACTTATGCATATGCGCAAGTACTTCATTTGCAAGATTTGTGCATCTGAGGTGGGCCCGACACAGACTGGACATTCTCCCCTCCTCTTCAGCACCTGGCTCCTTGCTCTATGGGTGTATCTCACTATGACCTCCAGGTGGCTAGCAACCCCCTCCACACCTGCCCTGTCTGTTCTTGGACTTCTCTTCCAAGAATTACCCAACAGTGGGTCTCGTTTTATAGAGAACTGTTCTTGTAGAGCATGGAATAAACTCATTTCCATTAATCCATACAGCTTGCTGTATTGCTACTGCCAGATGGATAGAAGAGATAGGCAGGGAGATTTGCATCCTAACAGGTTCATTCCTTCATCTAATCATTCATTCAACACATATTTCCTGAGCGCCTACCATGTGGTACAGAAGCCAGACATATTCCTTGGTCTCACAGAGCTGACAGCCTAGGGTGGACAGTTCTGCTGTAACACAAACAAATGAGTCTCTTGCATGGTGAAGGATAATAGTAAGAGCCTTGGAGATAGAGCCCAGTTCAAATCCCGACTCTACCACTCTTGAGACCTTGAGGAAGTTAAGAAACCGCTCAGAGGGTCGGTTTTCTCATCTCTAAAATAAAGATGGACATAGCAGCCTAACTGGAACACAGGGGACCACGGTACAGTGGACAAGGATGAGGTAGGAGAGGTAGGTGAGGCCAAGACAGGTGGAGCCTCTGTTCTGTTTCTACTTTTTAACTAAAAGCACCTTCATGACTGTTTTTTTAATTAATTAATTTACTTGTTTATTTATTTTTGGCTGCGTTGGGTCTTCGTTGCTGTGCGCGGGCTTTCTCTAGTTGCGGCGAACGGGGGCTACTCTTCATTGCGGTGCGCGGGCTTCTCATTGTCATGGCTTCTCTCGTGGAGCACGGGCTCTTGGTGCGTGGGCTTCAGTAGTTGTGGCACGTGGGCTCAGTAGTTGTGGCTCACGGGCTCTATAGTGCAGGCTCAGTAGTTGTGGTACACAGGCCTAGGTGCTCCGCGGCACATGGGATCTTCCCGGACCAGGGCTCGCACCCGTGTCCCTTGCATTGGCAGGCGGATTCTTAACCACTGCACCACCAGGGAAGCCCTTCATTACTGTTTTCAATCTGAAAATGCTCTCCCAGTGGGAAGCAAGGAGTGATTATAGTGTAATAGATATTTTGGTTCTGTGTATTTTATTCTATGCAAATTATTCCTTGATATTTAAAAAAACATGTGATACCACTATGCACCTAGCAGATTGGCAAAACTTAAACTATAATAAATCTCAGAAAGGACATGGAGCAACAGGAACCCTCAATCACTCCTGGTGGGAGAGTAATTGGTACAAATATTTTGGGAAAGCATTTGGTAATATCATAAAGTTGAAGACATCCATACTGAATGGCCCAGCAGTTGCATTCCTAGATATATCCTTGAAAGGCAGGTACAATAATACTCCCAATAACCAACTGCTAGAAACAACCCACCTGGCCTATCATCATAGAATGTGTAAGTGAACTGTAATATATTCAACAGTTTACTGCTATACAACAATAAAAATAAACTACAGCCTTGAAAACATGAATGAACAAGCATAATGTTGAACAAAAGAAGCCAAACACAGAAGAATCCATACTATATATGGTTCTGCTGATATAAAGTTCAAAAGCAGGCAAAATGAAATGATGTTGTTTAGGGATGCATACACAGGAAGGAAGTAAAGCTGTAAAGAAAAGCATGGGGACTTCCCTGGTGGCACAGTGGTTAAGAATCTGCCTGCCCGTGCTCTGCAACAAGAGAAGCCACCACAATGAGAAGCCTGTGCACTGCAACGAAAAGCAGCCCCCGCTTGCCGCAACTACAGAAAGCCCGCGGGCAGCGATGAAGACCCAACGCAGCCAAAAATAAATTAATTAATTAATTTTTAAAAAGAAAGAAAAGCATGGGCTTCAGTAGCATAAACATCAATAGTGGTTCCCACTAGAGTGGGGGAAGGGGATGGTGATTGGAGAGACAAGAGGAGGCTAGTGTACTTGATCCGAATAGCAATTAAATGTGTGTTTACATTATCATTACTTCCTAAACTAAATGTTGATGTTTTCTGCACCTTTATATGCATATGCCGGATTTCACAATTTTTTTAACATCTTTATTGGAGTCTAATTGCTTTACAATGGTGTGTTAGTTTCTGCTTTATAACAAAGTGACTCAGTTATACATATACATATGTCCCCATATCTCTTCCCTCTTGTGTCTCCCTCCCTCCCACCCTCCCTATCCCACCCCTCTAGGTGGTCACAAAGCACCGAGCTGATCACCCTGTGCTATGCGGCTGCTTCCCACTAGCTATCTATTTTACATTTGGTAGTGTATATATGTCCCTTCCCCCTCCCCATATCCTCAAGTCCATTCTCTAGTAGATCTGTGTCTTTATTCCCACCTTGCCCCTAGGTTCTTCATGACATTTTTTTTTCTTATATTCCATATATATGTCTTAGCATACCGTGTTTGTTTTTCTCTTTCTGACTTACTTCACTCTGTATGACAGACTCTAGGTCCATCCACCTCACTACAAATAACTCAATTTTGTTTCTTTTTATGGCTGAGTAATATTCCATTGTATATATGTGCCACATCTTCTTTATCCATTCATCTGTCGATGGACACTTAGGTTGCTTTCATGTCCTGGCTATTGTAA